AGGCGCATTACTAAACGGTTGGGCGAACCCTACAGCCGTGGCTTCTCTTTAACCGGCTGCCTGCTACGATATCAGTAACATAAAGAGAATATACCTGTTATGGGTATCAGTGAAACAATTGCATGTATTGAAGACGCATTACTGCTAAAAATCATGATCACAAATCAGAACGACGTCACAATCTCTGCATAGAGACTGCAACGAAAGGCTTAAGTTTTGCAGAGCACAGAACTAGCATCGTAGAATGAGAGTGAGTTACAGGAGGATTAAGATTGGGTCCAAATAGGGGGCTTTGTAACTGCTCATGTAAATGATTAATTTAGCAGGAAACAACAGTTACATCTTAAGCCTTTTTCTTTAGCCTGCCAAAGAAGAGATTCTTAATTCCTGTTGCCCTATGACTGTGAACTATTAGTTCATGACTCTCTGGTCCCTTTTGTTCTTAGCCATACTGAACACAGACAGCATAATCCAGCTCTCACATGCTGATTAGTTACTGAAATAATTTCTGATAACCATTTCCCCTACCCTAATAGTTGTGCATCAGGAAAAATCACCTGACTCACATACCATATGATTATGAACCACTCTTGATAACGAAACTGCACTGAGGTGTTAAACTTATTCTAAACATTGCTCCTGTTGAAATGTTGCATTCCTCTTTGTAGTGCGTTTGTATTTCAGTAAGGAGTTGTATTTTTCCCCATGGTTAAACTATCACTTTGTGCTTATCCTCTCCCCTTGAATTATAGTTGGTCCTTCATTCCAAGCACTTTATGCTATGTGTAATGGGATCTATTTTTTGCACTGGAATATCTATTAACTTTGCAAAATCTAGAGAGATTTCACAACTGAAATTTCTGAGTTAAATCCTTAAATGGACATTTTCATTAAAAGCAAAAAATATATATTTGTATTTGCTAATAACTGTTTATGTGAAGTATTAAAAGGCACTCTAATTGCCTTGTATTAAGTCAAAAAATAAAGCTGTTATGGCACCACTGGTCTCTAAAGTGTCATTTATATACTCTACTGAGGCGTGCTGTTAGAAGCCTTTTGTCTTTGCTCTGTTTTGATGTGAACTTTCATGCATAACGTACAAGCAAGTTCTGATCATCTCCATAAATTAACATGCTATTTTCAGGTAAGTGAGATGGTGCAAGATTTGAAACATAAGCTTGACTTATAGCTTCTGCAGTTATTAAATAAAAAGGCCTTCAACAAACCCTGAAAAATAAGTGATCGGTGTAACTGTCAAACGCAGCTGCAGAGTTTCTCAACACCACAAACCTGATTGGATGTTGAAATCCAAAGTGAGGTCCCTGCCTCTGCAAGCTGCAAATGTACTGAAAGTACCCTATAGTGACAGAGGAAGCGGTGACAGAGGAAAACATATGTTTGAGTAAAAAGACTGAAAAATCCTAAGCTTTAGCTAGTATCAAATTACAGGAAAATTCCTCAAGTCATTACTACACTGACTTTGAATAGGAGGTTACAAATGAAAGAAAAATGGTCTGATTCCCCCATGGAGAACTGATTTTAACATTCCGACCCCCTCCTGCCAATAGTCCCACTATCAACCAGTCATGTTTCCAGGATCAACCAATTCTTGAAGTTACGGTTTTTCAGCAAAATTCATCTTGAGATAAAAAGCCAGTTAAAACTTCCTGATTTTTTCAGCTTCAGTCTAGCGTCCAGCATATCGACTGTGATATAGAACACCCTAAGTGTTCTTCATCTTGAGCAGTAGTGACAAGGAAAATAGTAGTTTTACTAAAAACTTCTATGCTTTTAGTAAACTTGCAGTTAAAAAAAAAATAATTAATATAAGCAATTGTATTGTTGCATTAGTGTGCAAGAAAAAAAAATTCAGTGCCCTGTGCCATTTTGTCCATGCACGATTTAAAAAAAAAAAAACCTTTAAGTTGACTGCTGTAAGGTCACATGCTGAACGAACCGGTACACAACTGGTGATAGTACTGTACACAAAACGCCAGTTTGACCTCTCAGCCCACGTGTCTGCTGCCCTGCTGCTGCTTTCTCTAGCAGGGCAGGGTATTATCTCTGAAGCAACTATTGTCAAGACTGCTGGTGACCAAAATACAAAACCTGCAGGATGCCACACTTTGAGAATGCATTTAAAATTCTGCAGTTTAAAGAACAGTAATAGCCTTAGATGTAAACAGTAAAAATTTATGCTTTATACAATTTTATTTGGCTTTTAACAATATGGCAAAAAAAGTATTTCAAAAAAATGTAAGCATGTGTATATCAATCAGCTGAGCTTGTGATACACATTTGAACATGAAGGACTGATCGTTTCTAGCACACGAAACGTATTCAAATAGCTAAATGACAGTCTTATGTTTGTAACCTACAGTTCTGAGAAAGTGTTTACTGAATAAAATATGAAAGGGTTGAAATGACCTAAAATTAGCTAGTACATAAATGTTCATCAGAACACCACCTAACCAGCTTTACTGCATGATCCCTTGCACATAATTCCAATTGCATCAAAATTTTACACTATTAACAATTAATACCAAACAGCCCACTGAGGCGGTCAAAATACAATACCTTGGTTACAACCCTAAGTGTGAGCACTCCTTCTTAAGTCAGTATGTAACAACCCCGATGTAACAATTACAAAAGTAACCAAAATACATTAAGGAAACAGTATTTGCTCTGAAGATGGCTGCATTGCTACAGTTGTAACCTCGGAAAAGAGCGTGTCATGTTATAGCTCTGATTAGTGATCTTGCTATACAGAAAAGTATTAAGAAGTCAGGGGCTAAAAATGAGGGATTTCCAGAGTGAGCTTCATGCCATAACTCATAAGACTTGAATTCCTACTGGGGGATCTAGGGTCATTACAATAAACTCTTCTCTTTAGCATTTTACTAATTTACATTGCTGGAGATCGGCGTTTTGCATCCACATATTGTAAACTGAACTGAAGACTGAAGAACAATTCGCTCAGTTCATAAGGGTACGAAGATCCACGCGATGGCACTTGCTGACAGCACTTCTGGCTTGCGTCTTTTCTGCCACCGGTTCCGTCGTTTAGTAGAAGGCTACTTCAGTGGTGAAAATGGCAGAGGAACCAGCAGCATATTTTGCTGGGACTCCAAGAATCTGACACTTTCCCGCACTGAAATTAAATGCATGTTTAATTAAGTTGTAAGAGGAATAATATTTTTCATACCATACATGCAAAACTTCATTCTCTACAGCCTCCTTCTCTTACCAGCTGCTACCACTCTAGCATCTTCATGGGCATTGTGCCTTCCTGCTGCCCGGCTGTCTGGACTCTCATTCCACCAGATCACATGAACTGAGAAAACAAGAATTAGTAGCTGGTTGAATGTTGTCACTGTGCTGTTACAATACAATATTTAGCGCAGGTCTAACTGTCTACCTTCAACTGTTAGCTGCCTAGCATCTAACAAAAACTATTCACCAGGCAAGCATGTTGTGAGCTGATCCTTTGCTGAGATTTTGAATTTTGACTCTTTATAACATAATCTTTTAAAACAGCACTACCACACTTACGCCTATAACCCAACACACAAAGCTGAGTTCAAGGACTGTTTACAGGACTTTGGGGATCCACATCAACATTTTATCAAGCCAGCCAGTCCTCAGACAGGATGATGGTTTGCCCCTCTGTTCCAAAGTCTGTGTTAGAAATTGATTAGTACTTGTACCTGTATTAAGTAATCCATATTCTGTGTGGAAAACACCAATCAGCTTAGTGTAGCCTGTGTTGATGTGAGTGTTGATTGCAGCTCGAAATGCCTCACCCCACAGAGCTGGCCCACCGGGTTTCATCTGAAAAGTAACCCATTCGTATACTCCTTGGAGGAAAAAGGCAAAGAAGACTTCAAGTAAGGAAGTACAAATTAAGAGGCTAATTTTCAAACAGTCTTTCACAGTCATGAAATTTACTGTGAAACTGGTACAGCAATTCCCTGCCATTTGGGGGTCAGCAGACCAAGAAACTGTCCGCTTGATCCCAGAGTGCACTCCATCCCGCAGGTCCTGGGGTGACAAGAAAATAGGGAAGCTGCTGCTTAATTGGAGCTATTTCATTGTTTGTTGCCCAGAGGAACAAAAGACTTCACATGAAGCCCAACTTAAAGGCAAATCGTTGCTGAAAATTTGGGGAGAATGAGACTTCTTTGCAGAAACCACAAATACTTATACACCTTTGTGGGTTTTGGATAGCTGGTGGCTGAACTAGGTAAGATGGCCTTTTCCAAGGCTGGTGATGGTTTCTGGAATTGAAGTTATTTCTGACGTTATAAAGCCCTTTGCACTGTGGCATCATCAGCCACACCTGAAGCAACAACCAGCATACCACAACTAGCTTATCATAGCTGCTCTGCCAATCTGCCTGGTTTGTAAAGAAATCTCGTGATCTGCCAAAAACGCTAGTCCCAGTACAAGATGTGTTATCATCTGCCTCATTTCCATTCAGGTGGTTACTACAGACCACAACCACAGCCACTTTTAACAAAAATCAATACAACTGACACAGGGTAGTGTTTCTTCTGGCTTCCTTCTTCACTGGTGGACTAGAAAAAAAAAAACTAAAATAAGAATGAAATGTTTGAGTAGTCTGCCATTCAGTTTTAACAGAAAACTGGACTGCTACTGAATTCAGTTGTAACACAGGATAAAAATCAGAATCTCAGGGAAACGGAGAAAAAAGTCTTGTATGTATGCACATGCCAAATGCTAAAGGCAGAACAACTCCGGCATCATTCCACTTAACAGCGGCCACAGCGTTTGCGTATTTTCATAAACGCAGGAACGGTCAAAAGTGTTAATATGTCTGCCACAGAGAAATTAAAATACATAAAAGCAGGAAATTACACACCTAAAGCTAATCTGTGATTTACAAAGTATGTTTCACTTACACATAACTTTAAAAAGTACGTTTTCTGGGGCTTTTTGTAGCTATCACACGGAAAAAGGAATAACAACAAACTAATCCTTCTCACTGATGGATGGACAAAGTTAGAAATGATCGGTCAGAACACTACTACAGAATAGTCATTATTGACTGTTCACTTAGGCAATTCACACACTTCTTTACGATCTTAACAAACAGTGCTCTAGCCAGTTACTGACATAAGCTAATGTACAGAATCTTTCTTAGAAACTTTGGACCTCATCTCCATTACGTCACCTTTTTTCACATGGAAGTATGTATGTGCTCTCATTAAAAAAAGGTTTATAAAAAGATGTAATGTTCAGTTCAAACATCAAGCCTTTTTGAGTTAGTCAGTCAGCATCAGTAACTTTAATCAGTAAAGCAGAAAATAAGCTCACCTCCTTCTTTTGGAGGCTTCTCAAGTTGACACCAAGGCACGAGATAAGCAACCTCATTGTGCTGTTTTTCTACAAAAGCAAGAAGAGGAGAGAGGAGCTTTCCCTGCCAATCTTTGTCATTGGCGAGTGCAGCCCGGACTGCTGCTCTGTGGGCAAAATTATCTGTAAGAAAGGAAAAAAAAATCATGTTCAAATACTGCATTGAGTTCTGAAAAATGCAATTTATGTCACATCAGACTCAAGTCAAATGATTATTAGAAGGAGGTAAGCTGCGCACAAGCAAGTCCGAAGTTGGTGTTTTTAAGTAGATTATTAGCTTGAAGTAAATATTGTAAATTTCCTTTAAACTCTAAAAAAAACCCCTTTGTTTTAGCTCTCACATTTACATGGTTTCAAGCTATACCAAATTTACAGGAAAAGTTTATAAAAACCTTAAAATATGATAGGTGATGTTCCTGTTGAGAGAAATTTGTATGCTACTTCTGCAGGGTCTACTGGATACGTGGCAACAGTTACCAAGGATAAGGGGGTCTGAAGGAAGGGCAGAGGGCAGGAAGCAAAGTGAAAATTAAAATTAAGAAAGTATGGTAGCCTACCAAGAGGATTTTTTAAAATGCTTGGTTTTTGCTTATGTAAAATGACATTAAAATGATAAATGTACAAGTATTGTTTGTTCTCTACACAAAGTTATTAAATGCCAGCATGCTACACTTTTACATTTTTTTCAGATTAAAAATAACAAATGCATAGGATTCTTTAATGAAGACCCACTGAAATTAAATTGCTTAGGCTGTAATAACGTCTTGTGCAGTATGTCTATGCAGATAGCTTTCAGTAATAGAATTGGAAAAAAATTCCAGCATCTGAGAATAGGAAGAAGCTTAAGAAGTATCGGCATCTTGGGCTGAGAAAAAATGTTTCGTTATTTTAAACTACGAAAGAGATATAAGAGGACTCTGATGAAATAAGGAGAAAAGATGTTTTACTTTAAACATAGAAACATTATCAGGAAATTAACAAATAAAATTCCTTAGATTTTTCTTAGTTTTCTAGTTTAAAAGCATCTAAAAGACTAACAAAAATGGTTTTAAGAATTAACCAAATAAAGAAAGAAACAGTAGAATGAAGATAAAAAACTTCTGAGAAGTGGAAGGATGTGTTAATTATAGGTGCACTGAAACCCATAGCATTCTGGTCTGCAGATGGCTGGTTCCTTCACTCCTTCAGGGAAAAAAAGGTGAGTAACAGTGAAAATGCTGAATTTTGAGTAGTAGATTGAAGAAATCAGAAACAAAACTCTTCCTGTCTTGGTACACAAACGTACCCTGAACTGCACTAGGTACAAAAATAAATGATCTGGGCCTGGCTTCCCATCTCCCCATAACCTGCGGTCGAGTCCCCCAGTGCTCCAAAGACAGCGCGGTCAGCACATCTAGTTTCTCACAAAACTGGAGCTCTTCCTGGCTCAGCAACACCTTCCAGGATGGCACTGACTCCAACAACATAGAAAGTAAATTATACCTTAAGAAGTCTGTTGCTACCACGGCTAAAGAAGCAGCAAAACGCCTGGCGCACTCTGACTACCAGAGTCGGTGGAGCAGCTTGCTGACCCCGCACAGCACAGCTTCGGGAGGAATTTATGCACAAATTTTTCTCAAAGTAGACCCAGGGTAAGCACTCTCCTCCCATCTGCGAGCACACAGGACACAAGGGACCAGATTAGCGCAAAGGGATGTAGAGCGTACCATACTTCCAGATATGGACAGCCTTATTCATTGCCCCCAGCTCCACAGTCCAGAATCCCACCAGCTCAGAATAGGCTGTGCGAAGGTGAAAGTGCTGATTAACCATTTCCACAAACGCCTTCATCTTCGACGGCTTAATGTCATAGGTGCGAATTTCATAGAAAATACCATTATCTTGTCTGGGCCCTGTAGCAAGGGATGCATATACCTAAGAGAAAATGTTAAGAAAAATGACTACAACTAATATTCAAGCCAGAAAATCATTTTCTGTCTTACTGCTAGATTTCAGCATTTTTTTTAAGGGAGAAGGTCTTGGCGGATTTTTACAGGGGGGCAGGGAGGGGTGAGTGATCACCACTGCTAGAGTATCTTGTCAGTTTTCCCTTTGGAAAGAATCTCCATGGGCATTGCATGATGCAACCCCTCTGGGTAATGCAACAGCCATTCACCTGATGGACCTGTTAGTTGCCATATTAAATTGTTTAGTCATTAACCTGTTACAAAGCAGGATATTCCTTTTTTCATATGCCTTCCTCTAGGGGCCAGTAGTACAATGTAAAGAGTCACAGTAATAAGAGAGTCAGTAAATACATTATTCAAAGGCTGAGCTGCTGGTGCCACCAAAGCACCTGCGCTGCTGGGAATATCTGCACAGAGCCACAATAAACCACCCTCAAACTGCTCACCCCAGTGAGGGAGCAACCATTCACACTAGTGAATCCCTCTGAGATCTGTCCCCAGGAAGGAAAGGTGCAACAGCAGTAGACTCCAAGATTCAACCAAAACCCTAGGAAATGGGAGAAGGAAGAGTGGTTGCCAAGAACATTTATTTATTCTCATTACTATCTGCAGAATAAGCCCTTGCACAGCTGCTTTTGGATACAAAAAGCAAAGAAAGCTTCCTGGTGTTGACTCCCTGCAATATATATACTTCTTTAAACTCTGTGATTTAAAAGCATACAAAGAAATTATTTCTTTATATCATTTAATAATTTAATATAGAGTACTATGTAAAGTAGAAATCATTACTATTTCTGCTCAAGAGACAGTGCGCCACTGTACAAAACAATCAGTTGGATACTTCCTATTTACGATTCCACATAAAAAATGTGCTTCCTTTGGCACGTAAATACTTCACCTGAGTAAATTAGATTTTTACCAAAGCTATAAAACATGATCTACAACCAGCTACTGCCATCTGTTTGCTAATTACAATCTTAAATCAGTATCAGCAATCTACATATTGCGGCGTAAAATGAAAAGTTTCAATTGCTTGAGAAAAGACTGATTGATTCCTTCCAGTAAAAGACGGCTGAATTCTGTATCTTTGCCCTTTGCTGGCAGCTTCCCAAAGGCTGGTCCAGAACAGTATTTCCATTCACGCTACAGAAGAACTCTTCAGAAGTCCCAGAACATGCTTATTTTCACAACTCCCTAATAAACGGCGAAGCATCATTGGCTTCTGAAGCACAACTAGAAAAAAACCGTGGCCACACCAAAGCTTTGGCCTTAGCCGCTATTTAAACAGAGGTGGCGGCTGGAAGGATTTTGGACCTGCCTTACTCGGCAAGCATCAGCAGCGTGCCCACCCGGCAGCGCGTTCCGCGGAATACCGATGACTGAGGCTTTTATTCCCTAGTTAAAGAGTAGTCGGCATTTCTCGCAGGTCCCGCCGAG